TCGGATTAGCTAGAAGAATTCAAGGATCACATTTACATGTATCAACACAAGTAGCTGGAACCATGGGGTACATGCCACCAGAGTATATAAATGGTGCACCCATGGCTAAAACAAACGGAGATGTTTATAGTTTTGGCGTGTTAATGCTAGAGATTGTTACCGGGAGACGCCCTAATTTCCCGTTTAAAGGAGAAGATGGTTGCGAAATTAGGCTTGTCAATTGGATTAGTGGTATGGTAGAACAAGAAAGGTTCATGGAAATGGTGGATGACAATCTTTCGAAGGATGAGTTGAAAGAAAGTGCAGTGGTTGAGTATTTTAGGATCGCTATGATGTGTGCTAACGAAAATTGTCACGCTAGGCCGCCTATGAAGGAAGTCGTTAAGATTCTGGATGGAATTTCAACATTCATTTCTTCGTGAGTATTCCTAAATTCATATCTAATGTATCCAATTCTATGTAGTACTATTTTTAAGTTTGTACTTAGTAGTTTATATATAAAAATGTAAAAAGTAGGGCAAATTGTTGTTTTTAATTGATTGAGAAATAAGGTATTCGGACATTATGTAAATAACAATTGCACCAATTTAGATTCTTATGTCCTAATAAAGTTTTAAGCAAGCTTGTGGCTAGACCACATTGTCCAATTCTTCCACTTCTCATCTTATTTAAGTACTTGCATTAATCCAACTTCTTATATAGTGGATAAACTTATCAGATACTTATACTTAATCTAACGATTGCGGTGTACTCAAGTCGATTCGAATATTAGTTCTTTTAGTAAGAAGGAAAAAAAGTCAAAAAATATCTTTGAACTATTAGAAAAGGTTTATAAATATCCCTTATTCACCTATTGGTTAAAAATACCCTTGGTCCACCATTCTGATTCAAAATAACCCTTAAAACTTATAACCTTTTATTTTTTAATTATTATTATTATCAATTATTATGTGACATCTTTATATTGGATAAATTTAAATTTCAATCCACCAAAAAAATTTCTACCCATTTTAACCCCATATCTACATTTTTTGACCCAAACCAAATCAAAAATTCATTAAAATTAAAAGATTTGAACATCTCTTCTCTACCATTCCAACCTAATAACTTATTCTCTTTCTCAGCATCTTATACAACCTCAGTCAATGATAACTAATGAATTTAATACCAATTAGAACTAAAAGTCTCTTCTTTGATTGTGTTAGAATTTAGTCAACGCTACCACTAAAATACAATCAAATAGAGCTTTTCAGTGCAACTCCACTATGCAAAATTGAATCTTGAAAAGAGTATGAACCAAAAGGAAGAAATAAAAAAACCCAATTCATGTTTTCTCAATGTCACCATGAAAATTCTTTTAGTGCAACTCAACCATGAAAATTGAATCTTTTGAAAGGGCGTGAACCAAAAGGGGAAGAAAGAAACAAGACCCAAGTCAAATTATATCAATTCCACTATTAAAGCACGATTAAGAAGAACTATCTCGTGCAACTTGCCCTTAAAAACTTGAATTTTTCACATGGTGTGAACCAAAAGAAAGAAACAAAAAAGATCAAATTCAAACTCAATCAAGAAGAGCTTTTTAGTTATATTTGATATGACCAAATTCAAATATCAATATGTCAATTTCAAATTCCAATACTAATTGATTCAATCATTAATTTTATTTTGAAATTGTTGAATAAGAAAAGAGGAAAAAAGAAAATAGGTTATTAGGTTCAAGGGAAAGAGAAGAGATGATGAAATTTATTATTTTTGATAAATTTTTTAATTGGGTTTGGGTCAGGATATGGGTTAAATGGGTAGAAAAAATTTGATGGATTGGAATTTAAATTTATCCAATAAAAAAATGCCACATGATAATTATTAATAATAATAATTAAAAACAATAAAAAAAATTGTTAAGTTTAAGAATAATTATGAATAAAAAGGTCGATGGAAGAATATTTTTAACTCAATAGATAAATAAAAAATATTTTTAAAATCTTTTCAAATAGTTTAAGATATTTTTAACCTAACTTGTAATCGATTCGAATATTAGTCGTTTTAGCGAGAATGACATATGAGTAGAGGCATATCGAAGTTTCTTTAAGTTGGTCGGTCAAGTTATTTATAAAACATGTGTAACAAGTGCATAAATACTTTGATTTGTCCTCCTTTTTTTTTCAAGACCGACATGGGTAATGGGCCAATGGCATATGGGCATGTTGTTGGCGTCGTGTTTAGTAGTAGATATAAAAGTTTGTGGTGTTTTTTGGCTTGAATATGGCAATATTGTTGCATCATGATTCATGGCAAAGATGGTTCAGACTATCAAATTGTTTGACCACTTTTTGCGATCACATGGCCTTGTTGTGTCAAATGTACTCTCCTTGATTATTAATCATCAATCAAACATTACTAGTAAATACTTGTTTTAAATGTTTGAGAAATTTAAATACATTTATATTGAAATAGATGTATTTTCAATTAGAGATTTTTGCATATAACTTCAATTTTGGTTTTATAACTTATGTTGAAGAGTGATAACAATTAGGTGTGCGTAAATTGATTCGTTCTTTCCAACTTTTTAGAAAAAACTTTTAAGAAGTTCAAAAAATAAAAAATTTGAAGAAAAAAAACCCTCAAAAACCTTAATAAATTGTTATGTGTATCCAACGCAGAGATTTGAGGCACATATATATTTGACCATATAACTCGTTTGAACTATCAACAAGTCAAGTGGATTAGCTCTGATTTTTGTTATTCCCAAGTGGAAATGAGAAGTTATTACTGTAAACTTTGTGGAGGGCTTGCAGTATATTATTGTAAGAAGCATGAGCCAGTTTGGATATTATGGACCGACTCACAAAGCCCACAAATTTTAAATCGGTACAAATTACGATAATACGTGGATTCTGCACGCACACGAGTAAATTGTATATTCAATTGTCATATGATGATATATTTGTCTTTTAATTAATTAATGTTAAACAACTCATGTTCAAATATTGTATTGGATTTATTTAATAACAAACAACTCTCTCTAAATAATTTGTAAGCTAATTTATTTAAATAAATTTACTAGTATACATATAAAACATAGAATCAAAAAAATAAAAATAAAATAATTAAATGATGTTCCAAACGTGCCTTAAATTATTTTACAATAATATTTCTAGTGTAATCTACGAATTTTATTCATATTTCAAAGATAGAGAGATTATTTCTTATAAATCGTATTTAATAAATCGTGTTAAAAAATTTATTCAAACTAGTTAAGCCAAAAAAGTAACACAAATACAAAAACAACTAATAAAACTCAACACGTAGTAACCGAACACAAACTATAAAAAACAATACAATAATCAAGTACAACAAATCAACATATAATAAAAGAAATCGAAGAACAAGAAATTATAGAAACAATACTATCAACTATGAATTTAGGCCTAAGTCATACATAACCCTCTAAACTTGTTCACATATTTCATTTAGACACCTTAATTCAACTGTATACCAATTGAACACTTATATTGTAAGAGATTTCTACCTATTAAACATTTTGTGCTGACATGGCAGCATGTGTGTAGTACACACATGAAAAGAGCGCGAAAGGGCATCATTTAACCAATTTTTTTTTTAAATAAAATAAAATTAGCATCTCTTCACCTTCTTCTTTGACTCAACCACCATTAGAACCACCTTCTCACCACCGCAATCACCGGTGTCCCACCATTAAAGTACATTCCATTTTTTTTCGAGCTCCAGTCATTCTTCTTTTTTATGCCACCTTGTTTTTTAATTAAATATGCGTCACCATATCCACAATGCTCTTTTTCTTTATTTTTTCGGTCATCTTCTTCCCCCCCTTTTTTTTTCAGACCATCATCTTCTTTCTCCTTTTTTACCAGCCATTGAACACCACCTCATTTTTCTCCAAATTTATCATCGTCAGTATCTTTTTTTATTTTTAGCTTTTCAAACAATCAATTACAAATTTTAATTTGTTCATTAGAAAACAATGCCACCAATCATCTTTTTCTTTATGCCAAATCAACTCAAACATGAATGAATCTAAGCTTAAAAACAAAACATTAATTAGATAAAAAGAAGTAGAAAAACTTAGGTGATTTAAGTGTTTTTTTTTTTTAAAAAAAAAAAAGAGGAAGAAGATGAAGTTGGGGTGGCGTGGGGGGAGGGGGGAGCAGGTCTGAGCGGAGGCAGGAACATACATACTTTAGGATTTTATTTTTTTAATTATAATTATTTTCAAGCACAAAAGACAGATTTAAGACAAGTGACTTCTTTTAATTAATTAGTTTGTCATGTCATGGCAAGTGCGTCACACACACTTGACATTTTTTGTTGATTATCAAAATGTGTCTAATAGGAAAAATTTTATACAAGTAAAAGTGTTCAATAGGTAAAAGGTTAAATTGAAGTGTTTAAATGAATAATGAGAACAACTTTAAGGGGCCAGAGATGACTTTGGCCAAAAATTTATTATATATGAGGCACACCATGTCATACTTGTATGAGACATTGTTTGATTGACAAATGGACATAAACGGAACTCATATGCCAAGTAATAAAGGGACATTTTAAGTCACCTTTTTTTTTAATGCCCCTAGCTCAATATATTGTGTTTTAATTTTAAAAAAATATTTTTTTCTTTTTATGATTATCTTAATCATACATTTTGAGAATTTATTGGTTGATCTAATTAGTTTATACATTTCTTTTTTACGTACTGAATCTTAATTCTAATTTATGTTATTTATTCTATTATAATAAATAGTTGTTTAAAATTGTAACGATCCGCTAGGTCATTTTAAGAACTGGAACTGTTTTGACTTTTTTCGTAAAATTTAAATAGAAACTTCGAAATATTCGATAACTAAGAGTATTTAGTTGATGAAAATTTGAATAAATAATTAATATAGTTAATAGTTAGTGGCCAAATCCATAATTAATTTAATCTATTTTATACTTGACCCATGTAATTAAATTAGGTTAGTGGAATTAGCCACTTTTAATACTTAAGTATATATAGATTAGAAGGGAAAAAAAAGGCACAGAAACTACCGACGAAGACGTGGACAACTCATCAGATTGCAGGTGAGTTGATGAAATTTTTTGTTTTTGGCCTGATTAAATTGCTAGTCTCAAAAGATAAATTAGTATTATATTAGTTAAGTTGTTAAGGAATTGGAAGTTAGCTAAACTTGGCAGTGAATGTAGCGTAAGTGTGGGGTTTTTTTTTTGGGGATTTTTGGAGGCACAATTTGTTGAATCAATTGATAACTAATGATTATTATTAATTGAGGCAAGGATTAGAAGGTTGTTTAATTAATTAGTAGTAGTAAGTAGCTAATCACTGGAAGGGTTATATATGATAGTTAATTGAAATATAGTAGCCACATATAATTTTGTTCTGCCTTTTCTTTGTAGTTGGAGCTTGCTGTTACTTTGTTAATATTGAAATTATAATTGTTGTAGTTAGTGTAGTTTTAGGGAGAGATTTGAGGGTCATATTGAGGGCAGAGACGAAGTAATAATGTGAGGACTCTTGTTCCATTCCAAAGTTCTTATATATGCCAAGCGTGCCTTTGTTAAATTAATAGTAGCCTGGCTACACTTTTAGGTTTCTTTATTTACTCTTATTATTCCTTGATTGGTTGTTGTTTGGTTACGAAAATAGTGGAAGATCCGGATTATATAAGGAAGTGTTATACGAACTTGTTTGATTACGAGTAAGGTACAATTGGTAGATTGAGAATGTCCTGAAGCTTTACGAATAGGGAAGAACTATCTTGAAGATTCGTGGCACGCATTCAGCATTCAAGGTATGTTAAGACTTTTTAGACTTGTTGAAGGACGTTTTCCTAATTAAAGATTAAAAAAATGAAAATAGACAAGGGGTAAGGGGGAAAGATGGTGGTCTCGTATCAATGGTGTGACGGGCATTGGTACGAGTACCGGTGTTATAAAAAGGAAAAGTACTGTTATAGAATGTGGACTGAAATTTGAGAATGCCAAAGCATATGGGCATTAGCTGATATACTATTGACTTAAATTCCTTGTGTGATTGTGTTTTATTTGTTTCACCCGTATAGTTGAGATAATTGAGGTGGTTATGTATTATATTCATATTGATTGATTGAGATGCATCATCATTCCCTCTATTGAAACAATATTGTGCACATGCATAGAGATGAGACTGAGTATAAGTTGGGCACGTGGAGATCGTCCGTGCTGGGGATGGTGAGATGTTAAGATTGTAATTTGGGCACGTGGAGATCGTCCGTGCGAAAATTGTTTGATATTATGATAGTGCGTTGAGATCGTCCGCACAGACACGTGGAGATCGTCCGTGTCGGTATATGGACCTCGCGAAGTCCCCCATGGGTCATGAACTCTCGATGTATTTCCGAGGAGTATCATGTATATACGATTGAGTGAGTACTGGGTGTTCTGAGACATATCATTACATGACATCATATTGCATTGCATTTCATCTCATCATTCATTCTTGATGACTATATGTTTCGTTTGGTGTTTGGAAAATATTAAATGTTGATTTCCTTTATTGATGAAACTTAAATAGTAAGTGTAATATATATATATATACTTGTACAATCTAAGAATTTATTTTCTTATATAACTCCCGTCACTACTTCTTCGTTGTCGGTCAATGAGACATACTGGGTACACGTGGTTTCGTACTCATACTACACTTGCTGCACTTTTTGTGGTGCAGATTGAGTGATTGACTTTCAATTTGGAAACGTTCTTCGAGATTGGATATGAGTTTGAATTATCTTGGAGTTGTGGTGTGCTGTTTGGGATATTTTGCGGCCCACACCTTCAGTCTACCCCTATTTATTAGGCTATTTTGTTATGCTGATAGGATAATTCTTATGTTTAGATTTTTGTATTAGTTTGGAATTGTATCATATTGTAGAAGCTCTTGTACTTATGACACTAAATCTTGGGGTAGTTTTATTTATATTCCGCATTTATTTGAATACTTAGTATGTTAGATATTAGTTTGATACTTATCTTTCTCACGTTTAAGTTGAATTGGTGATACTTGTTGGGTTGGCTTACCTATCGGTTGGGAACATAGGTGCCATCACGACTCGTGATTTCTGGGTCGTGACAAAAATTTATTTTTTAGTTTATTAAAATCAAGATATAATATGTTTTCTAATCCTAGCAATTATTTTTAAAAAAATTATAAATAAATTTTGTAAAATTGCAAAAATTCTTTAAAGGAATAAATTATTAAAATTATTATTTATATTTATAATTTCTTAAGAAATGTGTAAGAAAATTTAATAAACAAAATATTAATTAAATTTTCCCTATCTTGAATTTTAAGAATAAAAATATCGTATAAATTGACTGAAATAAGATATATGTATGTTGATGTTTATGGATGTATTTCGTTTTTGAATTTCATGACAATAGAATCAAAACTTATATAATTGTTTGTTAAGATTATTGATGTTCTTTCCGTTAAATTTACTTATTGAAGAGTATTCGTCGATTGAAGTGTTTTTGGATTATGAAATTGTCGAAAGAAAAATAAAAAAACATATTAAATTTTTACCTTCTTTATTTTCATATTAATAATCTACTTTTTTTTATACAAATTTCTTAAGAAATCATAAATAGAATAATAGTTTTACTAGTTTACACCTTAATTTTTTGGGTAACTTTATAAATTTTATTTATACTTTTAAAAAATAATTAATTGTTATATATAAAAAAGAAAATTGTAATTAATTCTATTTTTGAAAATTAACAAATAATTTTATGTAACTATTTTTAACAAGATAAATAATTAATATCAAAATGGAAAAATAATATTAAAATGAGTCGGACAATGATTTTTTAGTTTCATATTTTTCACGAATAAAGTTATTTAAGTAAAACATTTGGAACAAATGTTAGAAAAGAAATCCAAGGAAAAAAATAAAAAAGTAAAAAGTAAGAAAGAGAAAAATACGTGAAAAAGGAGAGTGAGAAAGAGGAGTTTGGTCAATTTTCTGAAATAAATTTACTTCATAAATATAAATGGGCCTCATATAATTTTTGTCTACCACTATACCTGTGCTTCATGCATGATAAATTTTTTTACCAACTACTAATATGAACCAACAACAAGATAACACAATACGATCTATTAACCTTTTGCCTTAATTCGTGTCTTTCATACTATTTTATCTAAAATCATATAATCGATAAGATAAAACTATGTCATGTCCTGTCTAATCAACTTTCCTCAATACTCTTACGGTATACCTCTACCTCTTTTGAAACTATTTATAGTCAATCATCAATCTCTCGTACCTCTGCATTGTATATCTCCTTTTCCCATGCCATAATCATCTCAATGTTGCTTTTTGGTTTTTGCATCTTGTTTACATTAAAGCACTCCCACTTCTCCCGAATTTCTTTATTATTATCCTTTCTTGTGTCCAAGAATAACGGTATGATATTTGGAGATCCAACCTGAAACTCTTTCATCTAATGGACACTCATTATCACTATGCCAACGACATAACTTTTATCAAGAGTATCCAACTTTAAATATACATCTTTCTAAATATATATATATATATATATAAAACAAAATTTTCACCACTGCTTATAAGAGATCATAACTGGCCAACACTAAATTCTTTTCCCTTTATTTAATTTCCTTAATAATAATTTCTAATATTAGTAAAGCTTTTTTGGATCTAAATAATATAAACTATTATGCAAAAAGAGGGAAAAAAATGATATTTACTACTAGTGATTAGTGTTAATTTTCCAATTTAGGCATATGTTTTACCAAGGGAAAATAGAATTAAAAAACTGTAGAAGTCTTTATTATATTTTCTTATCATAAAAAAAAAGTAAAAAGTAGCAGCATATCCGAAAATTCTGTCAGTTATAGGGAGGAAGCCCACATAATGACACGCAAGCAACAACACGTTGGATTGCTCATGTGTCAATCATTTACTGGATTGTGCACATAAGTCAACAATTTGCTAAATATTTCATTTTCACCTAATCTTAAATACTTTCACAAAAACACACAGAAAAATAGCTTTTCCCAGTTTCACACTCTTTTTCGGCCGTTGCGTTTCAACATTTCGCTTCGAATCTTTAGTCTTCGCGTCCCTCAATTGAGATCTGCTAAGGGTTTAGGAAGTTCTCCAGAGTCCGATCGGGTTATCTCTTTTCCCGGCGGAGTTGATTGTCACTGTATCGGATCCCGATCTGTGATTGCTGTTCGTAAGAGTTTCTGCATTCTCTGATTTATTTGGGATTTTACAGTTTAATTATCAGTTTTATTGGATTTAAAGTAGTTGTAACTGCTTGTACTGGTATTTTAGGATAAGCGATTGTGTTTCGTGATTTTTTTAATTTTTTTTTTAAGTGCTATAACATTGATCAGTTTTAAATGTGTGTTATTTGCAAATTTTGTTGATTTTATTTGGAGGTTTATAGTTTGAAATGGTTAAGTTTGATCTCTTCTGTTCTGTTGTTTCGTTTTGTCTTCTTCTGTTCAACTTGGCTGTTTTTTTATAGCTATCTTTTGTTTGATTATTCGTGTTTCTGTTAGTCTAAAATAAGTTTGGACATTACATTTGATTTTCAACTTATATACACTTGAGAATTAGCTGTAAGTTGTAACTGCTCGACGGGCATTTCTAGGTTTAGATTATGTTTCACGAGTTTTTGTTATATAGACTTGATGCTTCAGCTTTGATCAGTTTCAAATGGGCTTTCTTTGCAAGTTTACTGATAGAATGTTTTTGGTTTCTTTTTTCCCCCAAAGACCTGAAGAGTGGATTTAATTGTGGAGAAGTAAACGTCACAGCTGCTTCAACACGAGCTAAGGAATTAGTGGAAGTGATTTACAAAACAAATTCAAAATACAGCGACCAGGTTCAGGGGGCGATTTGCCCCAAAGTGACTTCAGCTCTTTCCCAGTAGCACGGAGGGTAAATTCTTTTCAAACCGTTGCAATGGATGATGAAATGGAAGGAGGGAACTTGGGTCCTTACCAGGAGAGACCAAGGACATTCCCTAGCATGAAGAGCAAGGCTTATGCACCATGGGTAGGTTACCTTATTTAGGTGCACTTGTTTCTCTATTTTGCTCATGTTTCTCTATTTCACTCAGGTTTCTCTTATTTGCTCTTGTTTAATCTTGCTCCAAAATTTTGTGTTTTCCAATGATTGAAATCGTGCTTTTTGATTATTTTACGAAGAAAAATATGTTCTTATCTAGCTTTATGGAGAGTAATGACAGATTCATCATTGTTTCTTACTATCCAAAAAATTTTTTATGCACCTTAGTTTTCTCCTTTGTATTGTGTTTACATCTGTTTTCTCACCCTCTAATCCCCTGTATGGTGGTACAATTGTAACTTGTCCTGACTCATCAATTCCCAAATGTATCTCACTTGATAGTTGATGGTCTTCTCTAATTTTTTAATCCTGCTAGATAATTTTTTTTATAGAAACTGGTGAAAAAAGGCACATGATTGCGCTGAAAGATGGTAGAATACTTGAAAAAAAACTGTGCATGAAAACTGGTAACCACTATGCTGTTACAGAAGGAAGTTGTTGTGTTGAGGGTGATCTAGCAACATCTTCCATCTTTCCTATTCTCCACCAACGAACTAATTCTACAAACATAACAATGATTCCTAATTATTCTTAATACATCTACAGTAATAGAAAGAAGACCTACTTTTTAAAATTAAAAGGAAGCAGGAAAAAACAGTAGATATGTATGCATGAATACAGTAGACTAGATTTGTTTGAAACGAGTAAAAAAATATAAATATATATACATTAAGTAAGTTCCAATTGTAGTGTGACTAGCAATAGGTCAAATAGGTTCTTCCACTATTCTCCATTAATCACCTTTAGTATATTATTATATCTAGAATTCTCTTGAGAATTTCTATAGGATTATCTTTAAAAATATAAATAACATATTACATATCCGTGTAATCCCACTACACAAGTGGGGTCTGGAGATGGGGAGGGTAGGATGTATGCATGACCTTTGTGGGGGTAGGGAGAGTGTTTTCGATAAACCCTTTGCTAAAAAGAAAAGCAGAAATTGTAGCAGTGTGCAAGAATATAAGACGATAATAATAGAATGATCCAAAGAGAACACCGAAAAAAGGAAGTTACACAATTAGTAAGTAATACTAATAACAAAGTGGAGAGGAGGTTAGCCCTACCTCTCTCACAAGCAGTGTGTCAACACTCAGCTACATACCAACTTTCTACTCTGTATCTTTCCATCTAGGTTCATGTTCTCATAAGCTGAAGTTGTGCCGAATATCTTTCCATCATGGGTCATGTTCTCATAAGCTGAACTTGTGCCAAAGATTTTTTATTTTTTAACAATGAATTTTTAAATAAATATTTGCACGTTATTTCAGTGCTTGCTCTTTTTGTCATATATAAAACCCGTAGCTGTTTCTAAAAATTAAGATATGCGCACAAGTTAAGTGTGCCATAGATTCTTCTAAGACAGTGGTGTTTGGGACAGTTTGTGCGTACCTCGGCTATTTCCTTGGATCCTGCTACATTTCACCAACACAGGTATGGTGTAATTCTACTAGGATTTGAACCCTGGTATTTACACCCATTGCATTGATCATCATGGGTTGACCCTTATTCATCTACTTCTACTAAAACTAGTGACTGACTTTAGGTTGGATTGAGGTAATACTTATCCTTCCAATATTGAAACATGGCACAACTAAATGCATGAACTCCCATGCACCAAAGCAATCAAAGTAAATCACTGAATTTCCAAAAAGAATTAAGATGCATAGATTGATCTTGAAGATTCTAGTATTGATCTCCACCCACTTGCACTATAAAGTACTCCTCCAGTCACTTTTGATGTGGAAGTCATTTGTGGAGTCAAACAAGTTTTTATTCGGTTGTTTTAGTCGAACATTTTAAAAATATTTTTGAATCATTTGTTATGTTGACAT